AGACATGGCAGGTGAGAGATGGCAGGTGAGAGATGGCAGGTGAGAGATGGCAGGTGAGACATGGCAGGTGAGAGATGGCAGGTGAGAGATGGCAGGTGAGAGATGGCAGGTGAGACATGGCAGGTGAGAGATGGCAGGTGAGAGATGGCAGGTGAGAGATGGCAGGTGAGACATGGCAGGTGAGAGATGGCAGGTGAGAGATGGCAGGTGAGAGATGGCAGGTGAGACATGGCAGGTGAGAGATGGCAGGTGAGACATGGCAGGTGAGAGATGGCAGGTGAGACATGGCAGGTGAGAGATGGCAGGTGAGACATGGCAGGTGAGAGATGGCAGGTGAGAGATGGCAGGTGAGACATGGCAGGATAGAGATGGCAGGTGAGACATGGCAGGTGAGACATGGCAGGTGAGAGATGGCAGGTGAGAGATGGCAGGTGAGAGATGGCAGGTGAGACATGGCAGGTGAGAGATGGCAGGTGAGAGATGGCAGGTGAGACATGGCAGGTGAGAGATGGCAGGTGAGAGATGGCAGGTGAGACATGGCAGGTGAGAGATGGCAGGTGAGACATGGCAGGTGAGAGATGGCAGGTGAGACATGGCAGGTGAGAGATGGCAGGTGAGAGATGGCAGGTGAGACATGGCAGGTGAGAGATGGCAGGTGAGACATGGCAGGTGAGACATGGCAGGTGAGAGATGGCAGGTGAGAGATGGCAGGTGAGAGATGGCAGGTGAGACATGGCAGGTGAGAGATGGCAGGTGAGAGATGGCAGGTGAGACATGGCAGGTGAGAGATGGCAGGTGAGAGATGGCAGGTGAGAGATGGCAGGTGAGACATGGCAGGTGAGAGATGGCAGGTGAGAGATGGCAGGTGAGAGATGGCAGGTGAGACATGGCAGGTGAGAGATGGCAGGTGAGAGATGGCAGGTGAGAGATGGCAGGTGAGACATGGCAGGTGAGAGATGGCAGGTGAGAGATGGCAGGTGAGAGATGGCAGGTGAGACATGGCAGGTGAGAGATGGCAGGTGAGAGATGGCAGGTGAGAGATGGCAGGTGAGAGATGGCAGGTGAGACATGGCAGGTGAGAGATGGCAGGTGAGAGATGGCAGGTGAGAGATGGCAGGTGAGACATGGCAGGTGAGAGATGGCAGGTGAGAGATGGCAGGTGAGAGATGGCAGGTGAGAGATGGCAGGTGAGACATGGCAGGTGAGAGATGGCAGGTGAGAGATGGCAGGTGAGAGATGGCAGGTGAGACATGGCAGGTGAGAGATGGCAGGTGAGAGATGGCAGGTGAGAGATGGCAGGTGAGACATGGCAGGTGAGAGATGGCAGGTGAGAGATGGCAGGTGAGAGATGGCAGGTGAGATGGCAGGTGAGAGATGGCAGGTGAGACATGGCAGGTGAGAGATGGCAGGTGAGAGATGGCAGGTGAGAGATGGCAGGTGAGACATGGCAGGTGAGAGATGGCAGGTGAGAGATGGCAGGTGAGAGATGGCAGGTGAGACATGGCAGGTGAGAGATGGCAGGTGAGAGATGGCAGGTGAGAGATGGCAGGTGAGACATGGCAGGTGAGAGATGGCAGGTGAGAGATGGCAGGTGAGAGATGGCAGGTGAGACATGGCAGGTGAGAGATGGCAGGTGAGAGATGGCAGGTGAGAGATGGCAGGTGAGACATGGCAGGTGAGAGATGGCAGGTGAGAGATGGCAGGTGAGAGATGGCAGGTGAGACATGGCAGGTGAGAGATGGCAGGTGAGAGATGGCAGGTGAGAGATGGCAGGTGAGACATGGCAGGTGAGAGATGGCAGGTGAGAGATGGCAGGTGAGAGATGGCAGGTGAGAGATGGCAGGTGAGAGATGGCAGGTGAGAGATGGCAGGTGAGACATGGCAGGTGAGAGATGGCAGGTGAGAGATGGCAGGTGAGAGATGGCAGGTGAGACATGGCAGGTGAGAGATGGCAGGTGAGAGATGGCAGGTGAGAGATGGCAGGTGAGACATGGCAGGTGAGAGATGGCAGGTGAGAGATGGCAGGTGAGAGATGGCAGGTGAGACATGGCAGGTGAGAGATGGCAGGTGAGAGATGGCAGGTGAGAGATGGCAGGTGAGACATGGCAGGTGAGAGATGGCAGGTGAGAGATGGCAGGTGAGAGATGGCAGGTGAGACATGGCAGGTGAGAGATGGCAGGTGAGAGATGGCAGGTGAGAGATGGCAGGTGAGACATGGCAGGTGAGAGATGGCAGGTGAGAGATGGCAGGTGAGAGATGGCAGGTGAGACATGGCAGGTGAGAGATGGCAGGTGAGAGATGGCAGGTGAGAGATGGCAGGTGAGACATGGCAGGTGAGAGATGGCAGGTGAGAGATGGCAGGTGAGACATGGCAGGTGAGAGATGGCAGGTGAGAGATGGCAGGTGAGAGATGGCAGGTGAGACATGGCAGGTGAGAGATGGCAGGTGAGAGATGGCAGGTGAGAGATGGCAGGTGAGACATGGCAGGTGAGAGATGGCAGGTGAGAGATGGCAGGTGAGAGATGGCAGGTGAGACATGGCAGGTGAGAGATGGCAGGTGAGAGATGGCAGGTGAGAGATGGCAGGTGAGACATGGCAGGTGAGAGATGGCAGGTGAGAGATGGCAGGTGAGACATGGCAGGTGAGAGATGGCAGGTGAGAGATGGCAGGTGAGAGATGGCAGGTGAGACATGGCAGGTGAGAGATGGCAGGTGAGAGATGGCAGGTGAGAGATGGCAGGTGAGACATGGCAGGTGAGAGATGGCAGGTGAGAGATGGCAGGTGAGAGATGGCAGGTGAGAGATGGCAGGTGAGAGATGGCAGGTGAGAGACATGGCAGGTGAGAGATGGCAGGTGAGAGACATGGCAGGTGAGAGACATGGCAGGTGAGAGACATGGCAGGTGAGAGACATGGCAGGTGAGAGACATGGCAGGTGAGAGACATGGCAGGTGAGAGACATGGCAGGTGAGAGACATGGCAGGTGAGAGACATGGCAGGTGAGAGACATGGCAGGTGAGAGACATGGCAGGTGAGAGACATGGCAGGTGAGAGACATGGCAGGTGAGAGACATGGCAGGTGAGAGACATGGCAGGTGAGAGACATGGCAGGTGAGAGACATGGCAGGTGAGAGACATGGCAGGTGAGAGACATGGCAGGTGAGAGACATGGCAGGTGAGAGACATGGCAGGTGAGAGACATGGCAGGTGAGAGACATGGCAGGTGAGAGACATGGCAGGTGAGAGACATGGCAGGTGAGAGACATGGCAGGTGAGAGACATGGCAGGTGAGAGACATGGCAGGTGAGAGACATGGCAGGTGAGAGACATGGCAGGTGAGAGACATGGCAGGTGAGAGACATGGCAGGTGAGAGACATGGCAGGTGAGAGACATGGCAGGTGAGAGACATGGCAGGTGAGAGACATGGCAGGTGAGAGACATGGCAGGTGAGAGACATGGCAGGTGAGAGACATGGCAGGTGAGAGACATGGCAGGTGAGAGACATGGCAGGTGAGAGACATGGCAGGTGAGAGACATGGCAGGTGAGAGACATGGCAGGTGAGAGACATGGCAGGTGAGAGACATGGCAGGTGAGAGACATGGCAGGTGAGAGACATGGCAGGTGAGAGACATGGCAGGTGAGAGACATGGCAGGTGAGAGACATGGCAGGTGAGAGACATGGCAGGTGAGAGACATGGCAGGTGAGAGACATGGCAGGTGAGAGACATGGCAGGTGAGAGACATGGCAGGAGATGGCAGGTGAGAGACATGGCAGGTGAGAGACATGGCAGGTGAGAGACATGGCAGGTGAGAGACATGGCAGGTGAGAGACATGGCAGGTGAGAGACATGGCAGGTGAGAGACATGGCAGGTGAGAGATGGCAGGTGAGAGACATGGCAGGTGAGAGACATGGCAGGTGAGAGACATGGCAGGTGAGAGACATGGCAGGTGAGAGATGGCAGGTGAGAGACATGGCAGGTGAGAGACATGGCAGGTGAGAGACATGGCAGGTGAGAGACATGGCAGGTGAGAGATGGCAGGTGAGAGACATGGCAGGTGAGAGACATGGCAGGTGAGAGACATGGCAGGTGAGAGACATGGCAGGTGAGAGATGGCAGGTGAGAGACATGGCAGGTGAGAGACATGGCAGGTGAGAGACATGGCAGGTGAGAGACATGGCAGGTGAGAGACATGGCAGGTGAGAGACATGGCAGGTGAGAGACATGGCAGGTGAGAGACATGGCAGGTGAGAGACATGGCAGGTGAGAGACATGGCAGGTGAGAGACATGGCAGGTGAGAGACATGGCAGGTGAGAGACATGGCAGGTGAGAGACATGGCAGGTGAGAGACATGGCAGGTGAGAGATGGCAGGTGAGAGATGGCAGGTGAGAGACATGGCAGGTGAGAGACATGGCAGGTGAGAGACATGGCAGGTGAGAGACATGGCAGGTGAGAGATGGCAGGTGAGAGACATGGCAGGTGAGAGACATGGCAGGTGAGAGACATGGCAGGTGAGAGACATGCGGCGTGAGTAGTACATGCGGCGTTCGGGTCAGCAGCAAGAGGGAGAAGGGCACAGGGAGAGACAGGAAAGTACAGGGAGACACAGTGAGGCATGGGAAGGCACAAGGAGGGGTGGTGAGGCATGGGGAAGCACAGAGAGATGGACAAATGAAAAAGAGGCTTTGAAGGAAGCGAGAAAGAGACGGGGTCGGCAGTGCGGGTACGCACAAACGAGGTAGCATGCGTTGGGTAGAAAAGAAGGATTGGGGAAGGAGGAAGGGGGACCGAAGATAAAGGGCTGCAGACAGAACAGCCTGGTGAGGAACAGAAGGATGGAGAGAGGACCGGCGTGAGGGAGAGCGGCATGGGGGAGGAGAGGAGCAGGAAAGGAGCGGCACGGGGGAGGAGCGGCGCGAGCAGGAAACGGGCGGAGCGCTATACATGTGTGACTCTAGGCGTGGTGGTGTCGAGTTCGCCGGGAGGAGTGACATCAACGGCTATCACTCTCTCCTCTGCCACCCCCTTTGCGCCATTAATGAGATCCCGCTCCGCGCTGGACTCCGCTCCGCCACCCCCTTCCGCGCGCCCCTCCGCCAGTGCGCCTCCCGCAATCGCCTTGGCCAGCAGGGACCCCAAGAAGCCCCTGCCGCCCGTTATAAGCGCCACCATCACCGCCGCGTGCTGCACGAGCTGGCCTTTGGAACTCCACACCGCTGGTTGGTAGAGAGGCAGAACTAGCGGCTAGCCGTCAATGCTCGCCGCAGGGCTGACTGGAGCGACGAACTGGTCCGAAAACTGCCGGCGATTACCTTGTTCGGCTGGGAACGCTGGCTCTGCGGCGCGGTGGTGCAGCTGGCAAAAGCAGGAATTTGTGTGCGGCGGCACGGTTAGGCACGGTCAGGCACGGTCAGGTCTGGTCATGACGCTAGTGGGTTATGGAATTGTGACAATTTTCGGTGGGTCTCGGTGACTCGGAGTCCCACTGGTCGTGAGTTTCGGCATTCCCAATGCTTGTGGTGAGAACTCTTTATAAATCCAATCAATGTACAGGTGGAAATGTGGACGTGTTTCCAGTTACAAAATTTATGTGTAACGTATATCTACACTCTAACTAAGCTTGTTCTTTGCTGGTAGAAGGAAAGAATGTGCCCTTCATTATCGAAACACTTATGCAGGGTTCCACGCATCCTTGTTCTCTGCTCTACTGCCATCTCTTCTATTCATCGCCCAGCGCACACCCACGAGCAGACATGCCACCGCCAACGCTGTCACCACAGCTGCTACCACCGCCATTGCCACTGAGGATCCATACACTTGCTTCTCAGGGCTGCTGCTGGCACCACTTGTGTTTTCTTCAGTACTCGTGGCGTTGGTGACATTCGAGGCAGGTGCAGATACAGGAGGGGAGGAGGGTGGTGCAAGGGGAATGGAGGAAAGGGAGGGTGGGGCGAAAGATGCAGGGGCAGGCTGTGATGCGGGTGCGGGGGATGGGAGAGAGGCGGAGGCGGGTGCGATGGAAGGGAGGGAGGGAGGTGAAGGAAGAGGAGGTTGTGGAGAGGGCTGAGACTCGGGGGCGGAGGCAGCAAACATCTCTGTTGGGGGCAAGTACGGGGAGCAGAGAAGGAAGGAAAGGGGAGTGAGAGCTGGGGGCTGAGGTGAAATCGAAGAGGAGTGTCTGGTTGCTGAAAACGAACCCATTTTTTGCCGATACAAAGCACCGTTTGAGAGAAGGGGCGAGAGAAAAGGGGGAGGGGGAAGGGGGGAGCGGGGAAGGGGTTGCTCACCTGCGCAAGTCTGGCAGAAGCGAGTGCAGACGAAGCAGAAGGCAGAGGAGGAGTTCTGCTTGACCGTGCACTCTCCCGAGGGGCACACAGGCGCTGCCACACTCGAGTTGAACTTGCTGCCAGACGAGCAGAGAGAAAGCGGGCAGTAGTGGGAAGGAGAAAGGGGACGGGGAAGTGGAGGGAAGGGGAAAAGGAGGCGAGAACGGGAGGGGTCAGAGGAAGATATGAGAAAAAATGTTGTTCATGGCATGGGTTGGGATGGTAAGGGATGGAATGGAACGGGATGGGTTAGGATGGAATGGGATGGGATGGAATGTGTTGGGATATGCATTGCGTTGGGATGGGATGGGATGGGATGGGATGGGATGGGATGGGATGGGATGGGATGGGATGGAAAGGAATGGAATGGGATGGGATGGGATAGGATGGGATGGAAAGGAATGGAATGGGATGGGATGGGATAGGATGGGATGGGATAGGATGGGTGTGTATGCGGCCATCGACTGACTCACAGGCTCCGTAGATCAGTAAGGTTGCCCAGTGACGGAGGGAGAGCACCTGTAAGAGAATTGTCACTGATGTCGCTGCAATAGGGTGGAGGAGAAGCAGGGGGTGGTGGTAAGTGAGCCACTGGATGGATGGAGGGAAAGGTGCGGATGGATGTTGCTTGTGGTGACGCTGCTTAGCTACCTAGGCCTCGCCTGAGAGGATGAAGCACGCGATGCCATGACTTATGACAACGCATGGTGGAGTGCGGTGAAGCGTCCCGCATCTCGGAGCCGGAATTTGAGGTTCCTAAAATTCACTCTACAAGCAAGCAAGCCAGCAAGCAGTCAAGCAAGCATGCGAGCGAGCATGCGAGCCAAGTGGCGTACAGGTAGTGCAGAGAGAGAAGGTTGCCCATGGTGGATGGCACAGACTTGGAAAATTTGTTGCCCGCCAGGTTGCTGCTCCGAGATGGTGCGAGGTGGTGGGGAGAGATGAGAGTCAGAGAGAGAGCAAGGTGGGAGAGAGAAAGAGAAGGGGGGGATGAGTTGGGACAGCGTTGTCTGACACGGGTGAGCATGGGTGAGGGGTGATGGGAGGGTGTTGAGAGCGGTGGGGTTTGTGCGTCGGCACGGAGATTGTTTTTAGCGCGAAAGGCTGATGGAGACTAGTTTGACAACATGGGCCCAGGAGTCGATTATGCAGCCCATAATTCCAGCACATGCCCATACACGCACACTCGTGCCCTTTTATACATTCACACAAATGCCCATCCATGCCTATCCATGCCTATCCATGCCCATCCATGCGCATCCATGCCCATCCATGCGCATCCATGCCCATCCATGCGCATCCATGCCCATCCATGCGCATGCATGTGTGCGAGGTCGGTGACGCACAGGAAGGTGGTGCGGGTGAGGGAGCCGATGAACTCAGGGATGGACCCGTTCAGATCGTTCTTCGCCAGGTTGCTGCCACACACACAGCCAGCCAGGAAGAAAGCAAGCCAGAACGTGCAAGAAGAGAGGATATGCGGTTGGGTTGGTGAGGCCAGATAAGAAGACGATGGAAGCGATGGGGGGAGCAAGCAGGAGGTGGGATTGAAATGGAAGACGTTAGGCGAAGTTAGGCAGACATAGGCGGTCGTGATAGTTGTGGTGATGATGGTGGTGGTGCTGGCGTGTGTGTCTGTGACTCACAGAGTGTCCATGTAGGAGAGTTGCTGGAGTGAGTGCGGAATGGTGCTGCCCAGGTGGTTGCCGCTCAGGTCCCTGGTGACAATTCGACACGCCAACAAACATGCGAAAGTAAGCAAACAAAGCGTGTGCACGCATGTAAACGCACGGTATCATGCGGCATATGAGAGAGAGAGAGGTACAGCAGAGAGTACTCGTTAGAGAGTGCACACGTATGGCCTATGACCACAGGAGACAACGGTTGCTTTCGTGTAGCCCCTGCGGATTCAGAGAGCACACCACACCAGAATCCAGCAGCTAAGGTTGTGGGCCAATAAAGCAAGGTGCGTCCACATCGACTCTGCCCCCCCGGACAACCCCCCTCCCTGCCCTCCTCGCGCCCGCCCTGTTCTACAACTCCCCCCACTACTCCAGCTCCAACCTTTCCCCAATCTCTTCCAAACTTCCCCAAATCCTTCCACTCCACCCATTCCTCCCCCTTCTCCCTCTCCTTCCACTATTGCCACTTCTCCCGGTCCTGTCACCCCATCCACACGGCGCACTCACAAGTACGTCATGCGAGTGAGTAGGCCAATGGAGGAGGGAATACTGCCGCTCAGCTTCATGTCCACCAGGCTCCTGCTCTCCGCCGCACCAAACGCACACGCACGCACGCACGCACACACACACACACAAGTACTCAATATTACGGTAGCCAAAAAGCGAATCATGCCGAGCTTTGGGGAGAGCGACAGCAGTGCGGGTGGCGCAAATATCAAGTGGGCGTGGTAGCATGGCAGCGCGGCGGCATGGGAAAGGTTGCTTCATTTGGGGGAGCGCGGTGCGAGGGACTCGCGGTGGCGGGGAGGGCTGGCGTGGCGGGGGGAGTGTGCGGTGACGTGTGGCATTAAGTGCGAGCGTATTATTACCACTCCTGCGTGCCCGTAACCACGCGCCCGTTCGAGTCGACTCACAAGGAAATCGGACGTCCATTACTAGCCTATAATTCCTACTACTCCTACCACTACACCTACTACTAATTCTCCCACGAGCCTCACATGCTGGTAACCATGCCGTCTTCGTCGCACGTGACGAGCTCCGCCTGGAAGCACTGCGAGCTGTACGACCACCCGAAGAAGTCCGCGTTCCACTCCTGCATGCACTGCAGCAGCACCGCCGCTGCGCGCACCCGCCACCGCGCCGCATGCGGAAAGCGGGAGAGGGATAGTCGCGGGGTGGGGAAGCCGGTATGGGGAAGGAGCGGGGGGAAGAGAGAGAGTGAGGGAGTGGGAGCGGGAGGAGCGGGAGCGGACGGAACGGGCGTGGAAGAAGCAGTGTTGGCGTCATTCAGCGATGAGGCTACGGATTGTGCGAAATATTGCTGCTGGGCACTTTTGAGAATCCTCAAAAGTGACTCAGATATGGCACAGTGGGTGTGATCGGCAGTCGCGCGTCGTAGTAGCAGCACGCGCGGCCGACAGATTGTCGAAACACTAGCAGTTTGACTTAACTCATGAGCACTATGCGTAGCGCATCCAACGACTCTGATCACTCTACTCTCGTAGCCTAGTAAAAGGCGGTGCAGCCCATACCTTGCGATGGCTCCCATTTCCTCCCTGCGGCCAGCGCGAACAGCCCCAGCAGAACGCACGCGACGGCCCACGGCGTGACGACAAAACGCTGCGACGATAACGACGACGACATGGCTATATACCCACTGCCACTTTTTGCGAAGTTGTCAATGCAAGCCCCGCAATGTGCTCCTATCCATCTCGACTAGTAGCGATGATGCTTTATGAGGTGTTTCCAAGTTGCGGTTCTTGCGGCGTTTGCGGTGAGAATGATTGTCGTCAGTACGGGAATTGGGATGAGCGAAGAGGAAGCGAACAGCTGGGGCATGGAGTGGATACAAAACGACGGAGTGGTGAGCTGGTCACAAACTAGTCCACGCTACGTATGTCAAAGCTGGAGGGAGGGAGGGAGGAGGAAGGGTGGGAATTTGAATTTGTTGCTTGAAAAAACAGGAGGCAACTGGGAGCGAATGGCATGCGACTTGGAGGGGAGGCAATGGGTAAGGAAGGCACAAATGTGAGGAGGGAGGGGGGCACAACAAGAAGAAACGAGTGAGGGAGCCACAGGGCCCATGCGGCACGAATGTCGTCGAGCCGCCTTTCGCAGACAGTTACGCGTCGCAGGTTCTGCTGGTGTGTTCGGATTATTGGGTGGTGGGAGCATAGAGGGTGATGCCTGGTACACCCAAATTGTATTTCCTTATTATGCCAAGACTCTGAAAACAAATATAGTAACTACACATTTACTTCGCACCTACGAAATATGGTTCAGCACTGTCAGAAGCTGACCCTCAACCATTGCAGGTAGCAAGCAGATACAGACACAACTCACACGCCCCCCCGAAATAGTCATAAATAACCCCTGAAAACTCTCTCTACAGCAGCAAATTCAGAGCCATCGCCGACACCAGGGAGGCCAGCAGCGTGCTGACGCCAACGCCATAAGTAGCTCCAGCTTTGGGAGGCGGAGGAGAAGGTACCGTGGCGGCAGGTGCGCCAGGTGCAGCGGGAGGAGGGGGGGAAGCAGTAAGGGGGGGAGGGGAAGCTGTGACAGGAGCAGGCGGTGGTGCAGCTGTGGTGGGGGAAGGAGCAAGCGCGGGGGGGGAGGCGACTGGGGGAGCGGCGGTCGGAGCAGGAACAGGAGAGATGACAGGCGGTGAGGCGGGTGCAGGAGTGGGGGCGGCAGAACCGGGGGCAGGAGTGGGGGCGGCAGAAACGGGGGCGGGAGAAGCAGCAGGAGGAATGACTGGAGCTGCAGGAGATGGTGCAGGAGATAAGACAGGGGGCATGGCAGGAGATACCACAGGGGGCATGGCAGGGGATACGACAGGGGGCATGACAGGGGATACGACAGGGGGCATGGCAGGGGAAGGCGACGTGGCAGGGGGGGGGGCAGTGGCAGGAGGGGGCGCAGTGGCAGGGGAAGGCGCAGTAGCGGGGGGAGGCGCAGTAGCAGGAGCAGGAGCATTAGCGGGGGGGGGTGCAGTAGCAGGAGCAGGAGCCGCGGCGGACTTAGTGTTCGCTGCAGGAATCAACCACAGAAGGGAAATGCAGGAAAGATCACGATGAAATCGCTGGGAACAGTACAAGTCATACAGAAAACAAAACGGAACAAAACAAAAAAGACGAGCGTGAAAGGGAAAAGTTTGTGGTGCAGAGAGAGGAAGGATGCACAACACTAAACTTTAAGAAAACATATGCATGCACGGTCCAGAAACCAGGCTTGTTTCAATTTCAAGGGCTCACTTCCAGGGGGCGTGCAGACTTGGCAGAAGGTGGTGCAGCGCTGGCAGAAGAGAGAGGTGGCCACCTGGTTGACTGCACACACCCCCGCTGCCGCACACAGCACCTTGGACGGCCCCGTGGAGTTCACACTACTGCTCCACAGGAGCGGGGCGCAGCAGAAGGGGTGTGGAAGGTGGGTCGAGGGGGGGTTGCGGGGAAGAGAGGGGGTGGGAGGGGGAAGGGAGGGGGGAAGAGGGAGGAGTGAAGGGAAGAAAGGGTGTGGGGGAGAGGAAATGGGTGAAGAACATGGAAAAGGCATGCAAGTGAAGCGCGCCAAAGGGGCACCACGGGCTGGTCTGCTAGGTTAGCTGGCAAGCGGTTGGCAAGTGGTTGGCATGCAGGGTGGGGAGGTGAGAGGTGCTTACAAGTCGCTGAGCTTGGCTAGCCTGCCCATGACCGCTGGCAGCGTGCCGGTGAGCGAGTTCTCACTCAGATCGCTGCTCATGCGCACAGGGAGGCAGACAGACAGACAGGCAGACAGGCAAAAAGGCAGACAGGCAGACAGGAAGACAGGAAGACAGATGGAGGCAGGCCGGGAAAGGAGATACAGTCAGAGGGAGAGAAGGTAGAGGAAGGGTAAATGTGAGCCGCGAAATCTGTGCAAGGGAAGGACGCACTGTACGTGCAGTATAGGCAAGCTACAACAGCAGCAACTTAACTCACGTCACATGAACAAATAGCAAGGAGTTGAACAGGTTGTTAGTTAGTCCCCGAAAGACTCACAGGTAGACAAGCAATGCAAGGGAATCTAGTTTCTGTGGCACCTCAAAAGAAGGCAGCAGGTTGTTGTTAGTCCCCAAAAGACTCACAGGTAGACAAGCGATGCAAGGGCGCCAATGCTGGCTGGGATGGTGCCTGTGAGCGCATTGCCCTTAATGCCCCTGCCATGGTGGGCAGGATAGGACAGCACAGGCAGCAGGAGAGGTCAGCAGGCAGGGGAGACGGAGCATGGGTGAAGTTGATGCGGGGAGAAGCGAGCAGGCATGGAAGGTGGTTGAGCGAACAAGCCACCCGTGCTTTGAAGCATGGAAGTAGAGAGAGGTGATGATGTGGTGGGGAGAAACTGTGTGTGTTTGTGGGATGCATTGTGTTGTGAGAGGAGCGTAGAGGTTGTGAGATGAGTGAGTGAGCGAGGAGCGTAGAGGTTGTGAGATGTGTGAGTGAGCGAGAGAGCAGCAGCAGTGGTTGACGGCCAGACGACAAGGCAAGACAGGAAGGTTATGAAATTTCGTTGGAAAGAGGGTGAAGAAGGGCCGGGAAAGGGTGAGGGGATAACGAGGAGCAATGGTGAGCGGATAAGGAGGGGCAAGGGTGAGACAACAGTGTAGAGAAAGGGCAGGGTTGGCGCCACTTTATACAGCTTGACGGGGCTGCTTACAGGTTGGTGAGGGTGAATAGCTTTTTGAGAATTCTTGAAAATCGATCACAAGGTTTGGCGGCACTGCTTACAGGTTGGTGACTTTGGTGAGGGTGAAGAGCGCAGGGGGAATGGGGCCTGAGAAGCCGTTGTTGTTGAGCGTGCTGCCATGGCAAGCAGGGGCGGGCGGGATGTGGTAGTGGTGATGGTTAAGCACGCAGGTGACATGACGACCCTCCCTCCTTCACCGGAATGGTGGGATGCGGTGTGGAATGGTGTGGTGGTTTGGTGTGGTATGCTTGTGAGAATAAATCTAGCTTCTTCAGAGGCAGAGATACGTGTGAAAGGGGTGCAAAGGCGGAAGCAGGATGGAATGGGTGGGCTAGTATGGGAATGGGGGCAGCGCAGAGAAACGGAAGGGACAGGCAACGAGAAGTATGGACATGAGGTGTTTGGAATGTTCAGGTTGAAAGTAGAGTTTCGGGGGGGGGGTTGGAAGGGAGGGAAGAGGGAGAGAAGAGGGGAAAGTAGCGGGGAGAAATCAGGAGAAGAAATTTCTGGAGGTGGAAGTTGGTTTTGGAGGAAGCAGCAGGAACAAGTGGATGGCAGCTTACAGGGTCTCAAGAGCAGGCAGGGCGCCAAGAGTGGGGGGAAGAGGGCCGCTGAACTTGTTGTAGCTCAGGTCACTGCAGCATGCCATGTCGTTGCCAATACCATTGCCATACCATGCCATGCCACGCACCATGTCACACCCATGTCATGCCATTCAGTCGTTTCATGGGTCGTTGTGTCAGGGTTACGATTTGGCCACGCGGCAGAAAGATGATGGATTGAGCATGGGCATGGGCATGGGCATGGGCATGGGCATGGGCACGGGCACGGGCACGGGCATGGGCATGGGCATGGGCATGGGCATGGGCATGGGCATGGGCATGGGCATGGTCATGGGCATGGCATGAAGACTGAAGTGGCAGTAGTGGCAGTGCAGTGCAGTGCAGCAGCAGCTGCAACAGTGAGACGGTGCGATATGCAAAGGTGGAAAGAGCAGTAGGGGCATGGGTGGAGCGGCATGGAGGCAGTGGCATGGGGGGGGGGGGGTATGAGGGGAACGGCATGGGACGAGCAGCATGTGCAGAGCGGCATGGGGAGAGCAGCATGGTGGGAGCGGTACTGACAGGGTAGAGAGCTTGGCGAGCCCAGAGACGCTTATGGGAAGGGCGCCTGTGAGCGCGTTGGTGCCCATGTTGCTGGGAAGGGGGAAGCGGGGAGAGGGGAGTGGGGAGGGGGAAGCGGGGAGAGGGAAGCGGGGAGAGGGGAGTGGGGAGAGGGGAATGGGAGTGGATGAGGGAGACGGGAGGGAGAGGGATGGGGGAGTTGTGATTGTGATCTGACGAGAGGAGATAGAAGGGATTTTTGGGATGGCGAGTGGGGAGGGGAGGGAAGGGTTTGGGGATAGGGGCCGGGAGGGAAGGTGATAGCGGTGGATAGACAGAAACTGGAACAGGGTGCGGGGGGATGGGGGGGTTGACGAGGGTGGCGAAGGTGGTGGAGAGAGGGAGGGGGAGAGGCGAGCACGGCAGGCAGAGCAAGGAAAGCAGTGGCAGAGAGAGGAGAGCAGAGCAGGGAGAGGAGGGCAAGGCAAGGCTGGAAGGCAAGGCAAGGCTCACAGGGTCTGCAGGCTGGCGAGCTTGCCCAGGGCGGGCGGGAGGGCACCGGAGAATTGGTTGGACTTCATATTGCTGCCAGGGGCGGATGGAAGGGAGAGGAGAGGGGGCAGTGGGTGGGGCATCGGGTGAGGCACATCGGAAGGACTTGTGGTTTGAGCCGAGGGGCAGTCTGGCATGCAGTGCGGAAAACGGAGAGGAGGGGTGGTTGGCGGTGGCATGGGCGGGCGCATGAGGAGCAGGAGAGGCACACGCACAGGTAGGTGAGCTTGGTGAGTGTGGCGAGGCCTGCAGGGACGGGTCCTGTGAACTGATTGTACTGCACGTTCCTGGGGAAGGGGCGGGGGAGAGAGAGGAGCGCGGAGGAGGAAAAGGGGGCAGATGGGGAGGAGCAGGGAGGGAGGGGGAACGGAGGGGAAAAGGAGGGGGAAAGGAGGGGGTTCCGGGAAGGAGGGGGGGGAAGAAGAGAGGCGCGCACGAGCAGGAGCACGATTGGGACAGGAGGTTAAGGGCAATATGAGCGGCAGTAGCAGGAGCTGGCAAGTTTGGGACATGCCAAGGTAAGACAAGACTTGTTTGAAACGCAATGTGGACATGCATTAGATACAAGTGGCGGGGGTGGTGGCTGATGGAGACTCGGTGATGACGTGGTAATGACATGGGAAGTAGAGGAGAAAGAGAGAGGAAGTAGAAGGAGTGAAAAGGAAGAGAGCGAGAGGAAGAGAGCGAGACGGCCGCAGCAAGCAAGTAGAGGGGGTGCGAGAAGCGGGAGGGAGGGAGGCACGAGGGAGGCATGAGGGAGGCACGAGGGAGGCACGAGGGAGGCACGAGGGAGGCATGAGGGAGGCACGAGGGAGGCACGAGGGAGGCACGAGGGAGGCACGAGGGAGGCACGAGGGAGGCACCAGGGAGGCAGGGCACGGCACGCACACGTAGGCGAGCGTGGTGGGGAGGCTGGTGAGCTCCCCGATGAACCCGTTGGTGCTCAGGTCCCTGCGGCACACGTAGGCACGGCACATCATGGAGACAAAGCACACAGACAAAGCAGGATATGATGGAGCGCGAGTTAGGCGTGAGAGTGGTGGGGGAAGGACCAGAAAGGGCAAGTGGCGAAGAGGGTTCTGAGCGAAAATGGGTGAGGAAGCGGGAGTGGACTGGGACGAATGTTGAGAGAGGGAGAAGCTGTAAGGCGCTTCTGAAGGTTCCTTTGTAGGAAGAAGGGTGCGAGAGCGGAGTGGAGGAGGTGGGTTACAGGTAGGAGAGCGCTGCAAGGGTGTTGAGTAGCGGGACCATGCCGTTGAAATTGTTGCGTGCTAGACTCCTGGTGTCGTGCACACCCCATGTACACATGCACATGCACATGCACGTGCGCGCGCGCGCACACACACACCCACACACACACGCACACATGCACACATGTACGCGCACACACCCACGCACACGCACACGCACACACACCCACACACACGCACACGCACACACACCCACACACACACACGCACACATGCACACATGTACGCGCACGCGCACACCCACGCACAAGCACACACAGACACACGCAGCAGACAGACACACGCAGCAGACAGACAGAATGTTTGCGTGAGCAATTTGGGTCGATGGGGCTGCGCATTGATAGATGTGAGAGAGATGGAAAAGCGAGGGAAAGATAGAAGGAAGATTGGCAGGTCACAAGCAGGGGACGAAGGGCATTCCGGAAGAGGAAGAGGCAAGTGCGTGCTTGGAAGAAGGATAGGCGGTGAACGTGGCGCTTTTTGAGTAAGATCTTTAAGTGATAGGGTGCAGGATGCGCTATGGCGAAACAGGGGGTGCGAGGGTGCGAGAAGGTGCAATAAGGTGCAAGAAGGTGCGAGAGGGCGGGGAGGAGCAGAAGGAGGCCGTGGAGGGCGACGGGGGGATGGAGGGTGTGTGCGCGGTAGCAGAGCGAGCTACTCACATCCACTGCAGCTTGTTGGCAATCCCGACGGTGATGGGGATCCCGCCCGTCAGAAAATTGTACGTGAAGTCGCTGCTCCCACCAGCACACACATTGAGCATACCCACATACACGCACGCGCACGCACACCCCGCATACACGCGCACACCCCGCATACACGCGCACACCCCGCATACACGCGCACAGCCGCACACACACGCACGCTCACACCACACACGCGCATACCCGCACGACACAAACACGAGAAAGGAAACAAGAGAGGTGAGAAAGGCACGAGATACAGCGTCTGCGCGGGTGGCAAGACAGAGATGCCCGAGAAACGCGCGACTAGCACGTGTGACTCCCATCGAGCTCCCGCCCACCCCCCTTCCCGCACCCTCCCGCTCCCTCCCGCTCCCTCCCGCTCCCTCACGCACCCTCCCGCACCCTCCCGCACCCTCCCGCACCCTCCCGCTCCCTCCCGCACTCTCCCGCTCCCTCCCCGGTCCCGTTTTTCGTCGCACGATCTGCGCTTCTCGCCGCGCAATGGTGATCGCCATGCACGAGCTGTTATTCTTCCCACGTGTCCCATCCCATGTCACCCTTCACTCACAGCATGGTGAGCTTGTCCAGCATGAACAGGCTGTCCGGAAGGCTTTTAAGGCGCCTCAAAATTACCATGCACGAGCTCTTATTCTTCCACAGCATGGGTAGATGGGTAGATGGGTAGTTCACTCACAGCATGGTGAGCTTGTCCAGCATGAACAGGCTGTCCGGGAGGCTGCCTTTGAGCCCCGATCCCGACATGTTCCTGCCGCAACGCACGGCGAGACATGCGGACGACACGGGGAAGGGCACACACGGGGGGGGGAGAGAGGGAGAGAGGGAGAGAGAGAGAGAGAGAGAGAGAGAGAGAGAGAGAGAGAGAGAGAGAGAGAGAGAGAGAGAGAGCGAGAGAGAGAGAGCGAGAGAGAGAGAGAGAGAGAGCGAGAGAGAGAGAGAGAGAGAGAGAGAGCAGGGAAGGTGGGGGGGGTGGGGGGGGGAAAGGGGAAAGGGGAGGTGTGAGGGCGGATGGACAAGGGGGGAAAGGCCAAGAAATTTTCCGGAAGAGGCTGCGGCAATGACGGCCGGCATTCGTGGGCTGACAACGGCGATAGACAAACAACGCTCTTTGAGACGACTCAAGAAAAGTTGCCAACGTCGATTGACAATGCCAGTCAACACGGCTCGAGCGTGGGCCGGAGGCCCATATGGAGCACGCTGCTACGCTGTCGTCCAGGTCGCGCGAGTCGCGACTCACATGGAGGTCACGTATCCCGCGGCGTCGCACGTGATCTTCTCCGCCGTCGCACAGTTCGCTCCCGTCGTCCATCCCGTGAACGTCTTGCCCCATGCCTTTTCGCACGACTGCAGGATGGTCACTGCGCGCCGAGCAGGGGAGATAAACGAAGACAGGCGAGAAACAAAACGTCGGTCGTGGAACGAAGACGTGGGGACGGGAATGACGGGGAAGGGGGGAAAGAGTGGAACGGGGAGGGGGAGTGGGGAGTCGAACGAGGAATCATGGGGCTGGCGACCAGGCGAAGACGTAGGATACGGACGGCAGACAGTGCCGGGACATAGCAGACAAAGAAAGTTTGCTGAGCGAGATTGAGAGACAGGTCGAGCAGTCGCGTGATCAACGGCGAATCTCAGGGAGTGAACAGATATGCGATGATTTTTCGCAAGAACGTCATTAAAGACTCGTCCTTCCATCCAGATCCAAGAGAATACACTGAGATTCCTCCTTCGTAAGGTCGACTGAGATCTGCAGTGGCGGTTGTTGGATTGGTTTACCTTGAGTGGGGTTGATGACGGCAGCCATGGCAATGTGGCTGCAGCACAGCAGCAGCAGCACGCTGCTAAGCACCGCCGCCGATGTACGCGCTGCCGGACCCATTTGTGGAATGTCAGGCGGTGAGGAGCGGCAGAGGGGGCGCGGCGGGTATGAAGCCTAGCAACGCTGTGGAGGAGGACGGCGCAGGTGAGACGACTCCAAACCAGTCTCTTGGATTTGAGCTGGGATGAGACTCTGGGAACTTGCCGTCGTTCTCTCCTTCACATGCAGGTTGGTAGCTGGGTCAAGGAGAAATTGTGGTGTGGAATGCTGCTGGGCTGGTTCAATGCTGTGGGGTGGGGTGGGTGGGGGGTCCCCCTGGCCTGACGGCGTCGGTGGTGGAGGTGAATTTGTTGCCATGAATCTCCGTTTCGTGCATCCGCCAAACCGGTTTCACCAGATGGCCGTTGCTCATTTGGTGGAAGTGCGGGAGAGAATCGTTTGACTCGGAGCTGCTGATGTGTTTGAAAATAATGGGTGTGAAATGTTTGTTTAGGGCTATACTTCCCTGGCTGCACAGACTTCGGTGGTTATGTCTCTTAGGCATCTGACTTGCTGGATGACGAAATAAAGTAACTACTGGTATGATGCAAGGACTCCCGTCCAAATACGTTTTTTAGGGTTTCCAGGAAACAAAGGAAGTGATCTGTGGCGGTCGAGAGATGACCCATCCATCAATTTATGGCCGGAATATCTGGGAAGATGAGGCGGGGAATCCGGAGATTGGCTGTGGAGTGCGACCTGCAGCCCCCTCAAAATAAATTGCTTCGTGCTGGTTACCTTCCTGATTCGCTAGCAAGTCGGAGGTGGGTGAGTGCAGGTCGGACAGACGGCAGTTTCTCGTTGATTTCGACAATCTTATTCAACTTATAGTACACGTATTACATTAGCCTCCTAATATAATTATAATTTCTCGCCTAAATATAGATGAGGAAATATAATTCTGACAACAGACCAGCTAAATTAGGGAGGTACACACATATGGTGGGAGTTGGTTTAACAGGTCTACCACTTCCGTCTATGAAGACGGCTAATTAGATCGCAGAGAATGTTCAGGGGTTTTACGGAGTGCCTATACCCTTATTCTTGAGTGTGTATCAATATTGTGGCATGAAATACCGATTTTTTAATGGTATATTTAGACAGAGGTGCAAGAAAGTTAGTGTAAGGAACATTCATTTTCCCTACTCCGCTCCGCGCCCCTGCGTAACGCGTACACGACGGTTCCCGCCAACGGCACCCAACAGTGAAACGTTACCCGCTCGGGACACTCGCCTCGACCATTGCTCCCGCCACTGTACACCTCGCGACCCAACCTCACGGTTCGGTTGGTAACCCGCGCTCCGGTCCTCCGCCTCGACATTTCCCAACCTCGGCGCTAGGCCCGTCGCGCACCACATTCTCGCGCATGACCGTTACCACGCTAGGCTTTCGCTATATATTGTTCGCTCATTCCTTCGCTCATTGTGCTCTTGCTTCGATAGTGCAATTCCCGCTCGCTCGCGAAATTGCACTCGTAGCACTTGGTATTCAGAGCCTACAATCTCTTCTCGAACCGCGCCCATTCCTTCGCTTCCCCATTATCTCATTTTTTTGGAGGGGGTAGACGTCTCTCAGCGGCCAAGAACCGCTGCCCGTGTGCTCTCTCGTAAGCACACTCAGCTACGACTGAGGCTCTCGCTGAAGCTAGCCCGACGCCCCCACCATGGACGAATCTCGCCGCATTCAACTCGCGACGTTGACGCAAGACCGCCTTGACGAATTAATGCGCCAGCTCGAGAAGTCATCGCTCGAAATCGCGACACTCACGGAGGAACGCGATTCCGCACACCAGCAATCAACATCAAATGCACCAGCGCCAACACCCGCAAATGCACCTGCACAATCGGATGAGCCGATTGTCATCTCATCTGGCACACCGTCGCAGCAAGACAGCGTGGGACAACGCTCAGGCGCAGCCAGCGACAGCGCCGCCCAATCTATGCCGGGCATGGAGAGAGCCAGGACCGCACCGGGCGTAAACGTACCTCGCGAGGCTCGTCGTCACGTCGGATTTGCAGCACCGGCCTGCAACGACGACATTGGTGAGCCGATGCCACTCAGGCCGCAGCGCTCGCCCTGCTTCGATCCTACCCAGCGTGGAGGTCTGACGGTTCAATCCTGGGTGTTCACGATGAACGTGTTTTTTTTACGCGAACTACGTCACGTCGGATGCAGCGAAGATTTGGTACGCCGTATCGTTGTTGCGGGGCCCCGCCATGGACTGGTGGCGAGTCATTGTGACGTCGCCGCGCGCCTACGAGCCGCTGTCGCAAGAGGATGGGCCCGCGGGCCCAGCCGTCACCTGGAGTTCATTTTGCGAGACAGCCCAATACAGCACGTGGGACGCGTGGTGCGCAGGGCTTCGGACGCGCTTCGAGCCAATCGCGGCCTCGATTTCAGCACGTCAGAAGCTGCGCACTTAGCGACAGCTTGGGTCGGTTCAAGACTACACTAGCGGTTTTCTCGCGCTGTGTGAGCAAGTCGGCTACATGCACAAAGCGGAGCGAGTGGATCGCTACGTCGGCGGCCTGAAGCCGGAAATCTCGCAAGAAATTATTCTTCGCGGGATCTCAAACTTCAACGAAATCTTGGCGCTAGCGGAGAAAATCGACTTGCGCCGTCCGAGATCGGGGTCCTACTACGGACATCGCCCTCGGGGGCCGACCGAGCACGCCACTGTACACGCCGTTGCGACGAATGCAGCTGCCGCGCCGTTTAAGGGGCGCTGCTTCGCGTGCAACGGGCTGGGCCATCGCAAGAGCGAATGCCCAGAGGAGATAAGGCGCCGTGGAGCAGAGCAGGGGAGGGAGTCTGGGAGGCAGGGAAACGCCAACAGTTAGTAGAGTACGGGCCCACTACTGACGAGACTCACTGCTCGCCCGACCTCACTGACCCTCACCGAGTCACAGTACCAATTCACGCAATCGATCGGGCTCGGCTGAATAAGGAGGGTAGAGCGACAGATTCCCCAATACTGATTCACGGGAAAACACAGGGGGTAGCAGTGAAGACTTTTATTGACGAAGGAGCAAGTCACAGCTTAGTTAATACCGCAACGGCCCGGAAACTACATCTGACACTTAGCCACTGTTTAATGGAGATCGACGCACGCTTATTTGACGGGCTATACGGGAGAAAGTGGAGAGAGCGAAGGTTCGCTGCGGGGGGGAATTTCGGTTTTACACAGGAAATGCTCGCGACGACGCTGGATGGGCACGACATTTTACTGGGACGTGATTGGCTGCGACACTACAACCCACGAGTTGACTGGACGACAGGTAGCTGCACTGTGCGAAGCGGCGGTAACTGGGCCGCACTACCTCGCTGGCAGTCGCCTGAGTCTTCAACGGTCCACGTCAACGCCATCACGATGAAACGGGCTGTTGTGGAAAGGAGAACGCGAATGAATGAACTATGAATGAAGTGAGTACATATAGGAAACCCTAATTGGGTTGTACCCCCTATGGGATACCCCACTATAGCCTACACAACAGCATAAGCTATATAATGTTCTGACACACCCCCATAGGCAAAGTGGGGGAGAACAAGGGGTCACAAGACCAGTCACGCAAAGCACAGCAAGCTCAGGGTGGATCACAAAGTCACCACACAGTCCGAGCACAACGACAAGGCCACAAGGCCAGTTCACATGCAGGAGGACACATATATGTATAGAGCTAGACAAGCAAGAGCAGGTATATATATGTGACAGTACAAGCAAGGTCAAGAGGAGAGCAAGTGAGGCAAGACAGGTACAAGACCCAACTGAGTGCAGAAGCGCTGATGGTCACAAGGCGCAAGTGCCTTGGTGAACACATCAGCAGTGTTGGCCTCAGAGGCCACGTACGCAAGTCGCAACTGACCACGCTGCTGCAGCTCACGAGCAAGA